CGAAATGGCGATCGGCTCGACCTGCTCCAACGAGCCCTCTGCTGGCGTGCGGATGACCGGCACTTCCAACGTACCGAGCAAATTGGGGCGAAACGCACCCGCCCGTTCCACAATCGCTTCAAGATCGTAGCGAACAGACCCCAGATCGGTCTTGATCGTCTCGGGGAGAGATCCATCGATGGGAAACTCGAAGCTATACAGATAATCACCGACGGGAAACAACCGGTAATTGCGCTGAGTGTGAACCGGGGGCGGCGGGGCGTCATTCTTGCTCAAACTGCGCGAATGGTTGGATTGCAAGGACAGTCGCTTCAAATCCTTGGCTGTAAGTTGGCCGTTCTGGCCCAACGAGGTCGCCGAGCCGGTCTTGGAGAGCAACTCCCGGGTGCTGGTGGTCGGCCCATCCTTGCCCGTCACCGACGTCACCGGTTTGGCGTGCTGGTAGAAGTGCGCGCCGTAGTCATTCTGCATCAGCGCAGTATCTCCATGGTTAAAGTACATGACGCCATGTGTGACGAGGTCTTTCTTGTCGTGAAAGTGGACTTTCTTAGGCGGAATTCCTACATGAGACAAAGAGTTAGTGGTGACGCCACCTGGGGTAAGAACAATGGGATGTAACATACCATCTGGCCAATCGGTCTGGGCATGTCCGCGGAAACAAATGGAGATCTTCTTGACTTTGACACTCTTGGTAATTTTGAGATGCAGCTGCCCGCGCAAGATGGCGGACTTTTTGGTGCTGGGATCGTTCTGATCATAACCCTGAAGAAACAGAACGGGCTCGGTGAGCGCAACACCAACCGTTATGCCACTGCCGGTCGCCACGATCTTCTCATTGCGCAAAGTGGGAAACGGCACCGATGGATCCGCCGCCGGAATTGCCGGTTGAGCCGAAATCGGGGAAGGCTGGGACGCCGACACGGTCGACGAAGAGTGGGAGCGCAGCCTGCCCGTCCTCAAACCTGTGCTGGCAAGCATTTGTGCATCATCGGGGGACAAAAGAATCTCAGACACGGGGCGAGGGCGATGTGTTTCGGGCATTGAGGGAGTGGGAGTGGGTGGCGTCAGCGTAGTAGTCGGGTGGATAGGGGTCCCCAGGCGGAGGAATCGCTTTGCGTTTTCCCGCGGACCCGCCAGTTTGCTAAGTATGGACGCGCGCCGGCGATGGCCTGGCCGTGGAACTTGTTCGACCGCAACAGTGTCGCCAACTACACTGGAAGTTTCTAGAGACCGACGATTATCGGAGCGAAACCTCAAGAGACTGTGGAAGATGGGCACAGAATCGGGGGTGCCACAGGAAAGGTGGGAGACCGTACTAGTTGTAGTGGTCACGGAACCGGATAAATCCTGTTCTAGATGGGAGATGTGAGTCGTCATCGTGTAAAGCACCAATCGAAGAGCATTATTTGCCAGACGCAATGAAGACCCTAAGGTGAAACAGAAAAAAAAGGAAGAAAGACAAAAAGATGACTGCGGGATGTCCGGATAGGCTGATTTTCAACCACGGGTAAGACGGATATAGAGAGGCGCAGGTGAGGCACCCAAGATGGATGTAGTATGCTGGTTGCTGAAGTATAGAGGGGAGAGATTACACCAATATTGCGAGGGATGTCACCAAGGGAGACGCAAGGTAGAAGAAGTAGAGTAACAAAGGAAGATAGGAGAACGGAGAAGAGAGAGAGAAGGAAAAAAGAGAAAGGGAAGAAAGGAATGCAGCAGGGTCAAAGGGTAAAAGGAAAGGAAAAGGAAAAAATACAAAAAAATAAAGCAGCAAAGAAGCAAGCACGTTTTGGGGATGAATCGACGACTTACCGAAATGGAGTCAAGAGAGCAGAAGACTGGGCGTGGAGAAGTATATTCAGATTCAGGTTGAATCTTACGCACAGTCCCAGCTGCAGCGAGTCGTGCGACCAGTGGAATTTTCCTTGGGACGGAGTCACAGTTCCCTGTCCTTAATTTCGTAGTGTTTTTTCCTTTTCCCTTAGATCGAATTATTTTTATTTTAATCAATTTTTGTTGTAAATTTTTTTTTTTTTTTTCTTTGCTTTGCCTCTTTTCGGATTGGGATGTTTTTCTGAGTTTGGGAGATGATCGACGGCGCAAGGAGCAGCACGTCCACCGCGGCGCAGCAAAAGGTAAAGTCCCTAGTAATTCAAGCGTTCAACGCGAAGGAAGGGATCACCGTTTTCAGTAGCGTCAAGCAGGCCAGATTGGTCGATGATGCGGGGGGAAAGCCAAAACACCGGCGACCCAAATGGGGATGGATTGTGTCTGGGGGGAGGACCAGGTAGGGCGAGTTAGGAGTAAGTAAATATCGAAGAGTCAATCATCGACTGGGGGGTAGGTCATGCGAAAGGGCAGCATTGACATCAATGACAACACAGACACGGACAAGAATGAGGCGGTGCGGATATAGTTCCTTGGGCACAAGATACTTAAATGCAAAGACAAGGCGGGGGGAAAGGAAGGGAAACCGACTACTACTTGAACCAGGGCTTGGAGGAGGAACAAGAGAAGAGGGAGAGAGAGAGAGCGAGACGATGACGCGGATGGAGGGGGAAAGTCGGTAGGTTCAGTCATATCCGGTGATCCGCAAGTTGCCTTCGACAAGTCTCCAATGAAGGCCATTCTCCTCGCTGAACCACTTGGGAGTTGGGACCAAACTGTCCTTGAATCTTTTTCCACCCGCGGTCAGACTTTCCGCACGAACATGGGCGCCATGGAAGGAGACCACCAACGTTGGTAAACTACTCGAGCTATTCCAACTCTGATTATCTACAATGGAAGGTCTGGCCTCAACCCGTTTTGTCAGTCCGTCGGACCCGATGTTGATTTTACGATGTTGTGGACCGAATCCTAGCAAATTGTTTGCTACTGGAGATTTCTCAAGCTCAATCGATATTCAGCATAGCCTCAACTGATGGTGTGGTTGTGTCTCTCTACTCTCTCTCTCTCTAGCCCTCTCGCCCCCATCTTTTCCATGTGAAAGATGACGGGGCAGTGGTGCGGTTCGTGTCCTCAGGTACGAGGGAAAAGAACACCCTAGACTAAAGATATCTTCGAACGGTACTTTGTCCCTTTACTAGCTGAATCGTTAGCGTCAAAAGAGGGGGCCCAGGCCTCGGCCATGACTTGAGGGGAGTGACGTCTGATCTGCTGGGCCCGGGGGCCGAATTTCACGCACTCTGAGGCTTTAGAGGCGGGTATTCCGGCACAGCCTGGAGAGAGAGAGGGAGAGAGAGGGAGACCAAAGCAAGTTCGCTCGGTCATAAGAATATGTTTATCCTTTTCGCTCAGGATCATCATCAGGATGATAGCCAGTTGTCCCCTTGACTTCATACATACATACACACACACCCCTCCTTCTCCAGAGTCGAGTCGGAATCCAACCCCAGTAAGAAAAAAAGACCGGGATATGAGGCGGTCAGATCCACCGGGACACAGTTCGTGACATCCCAAAGCTTCCTGCGAGGCTGCCGCGTTTCGTTGTCAATGCGGGGATTCTTAGCCGTGCTGGTGATATCATCGGGGCGCGACGGGAAGGATTTTGACTAATCTCTGAGTAGTTTTGAGGCTTGGTGTGCCTTTCCCGGCTGACCTGGTCTGGTCTGTCGTGCCTTGCCTTGCTTGCCTGGGGAATCATGGGTAAATTGATTTTCTCCCCCTCTGCATTTCGCCTCTCAGGTCAATACACAATCAAAAAACCACATTTCCCTTCAGGCTTCCGTCGGGTCGCCAAAAACCATTCCCGACCTCTCATTCCGACTTGAAGAATGGATGCAGAAGTTTAATTCTAGATCCATGGCCTGATTTCGGGAACGGTTCCACAGTCGCCTTTGCCGTCACACTCGTTTGTGGTCGCCGCCGCCACCTGTAGGTCCGAGTATTGTCCGGTTCAATGCCTTGCAAATATCTTATTGTTCCAGGTAGAGTAGTCAATTGTCTAGACTTTCAAGGCGCAGGTATACCGTACAGTTTTAGATGGCTCTGATGGTTTTAACCGACCTGTCAGCCCACAGTGTAGATACATCGAATTTACTATGAGTCATTGGATAGTTAATCCGGACAATTTTACCTGCTCTTAGTCAGCGAGAAACCTTCCGGGCCTTCAGCTTACCACTCGCTGACAGTCTGGAGACGATCTCGATCATCAACACCGGCTTCCCATGATGTTCTCCACACAAAGTCCATTATCACATGGATGACATCATCACAGGGTAACCTTGACTTTACATTGACTTCAGCACACTCCTCCGTTTGTTTACTTGTACGCAGGGACTACTGTTTACCCATAGGCAGCATCATAATGTAGATCGTTATCTTCTGTTCTGAACACCTCAGGAAAGTGGCCAGTTACTTCATGGCATTTGGAGGCTGACGTCGGACCACACACTAACTCCATACTGTCTGTGTAACGAGAAACATCGCCATACCAAACGATTGGAACTGAACTTCCTTGTAGGACCCAGTCAGTAGTTATCCCGAGGCCGAACTAGCAGGAAACAGCTTAGCTGCACTGAAGCCAAGCCGGACCAACACTTCACACAGAAGAGCTAATCGGGCTTAAAGTTGAGTGCCTTCACGTCAGTTTACCGACTGAGATAAGCTCCGCCGTGCCCCGGTCCGTACATTCCTCCACTTTTGGAGTGCCTTGCGTCATTCCGTTGCCTGGTAGGTACCGATCCCCAACCCCCTTACAGGGTGGATCGTCTGATTTGCCGATTGGCGGCTCGGTAATCGCAGAACTGAGAATGTTCCCTCTGGCGAGGTATCAGATTGATTGCGCTGATCATTCTAGAAGTGTGTCTGGTCGGTGATTGAAGATGACACCGAAGTTGCATTGTAGAGGGAAGCAGTCGCCTTGATTGATGATGTTTGTTCCAGATATTCGTCATATTACTTGGAATGTTATCGCCCGACTAGCATATAGCTGTTTGCCTTTTGTCTATCCGTGCGAAGGTAGCTGGTCCATATCTCGAGCAACATTCATGCGCGGACCATCAAGTGAACCAGCTGTCATCCAGGTCATTGATGTTGACCAACCCGTCCCCATCTAGTAAGCTAGCGTCTCCAGCTCCTTCTCCCCCAAAAGTATCGTTCTCCATAAACAGATCGTCGAAGCTAGATTCTCCTGGTGCCATGACATCTTCCATGTTACTGCCACCTTGTCCATCAAACGTCTGCTCGCCCGAGGTATCCCCCGGGTTAGTGAATGCTTCCGCTTTTTGTAGCTCAAGATCAAATGCATCCCCTCCCATCTGTGCAGGAGCGGGAGTGTTCTCGGTACCAGGCAAGGCTGTTGGAGCATTGTTTGGCTGGTTGGTTTCTCCCCCAGTGCCATTGTTGGCATTACTGGCGGCATTGGCTAGATTAGAGCCTGACAGGAAACTGTCATTTCCCACACCATCATCGCCAAAGTCCAGGTTCAGGTCGAAGGCGTTGGTCCCAGAATTATCGGCTAGCATGGAATCGAAGTTGAAATCGCCTGGCGCAGAAACGGGTTGTGCTGCAGGCACATCAGCGGCATCTTCCTCGGGCTTTTCAGCTTTGACGGGCTGATCGCTTGGCTGACTAGCATTTGCGTCGACCTGGGGCTTCGGAGCGAGAGCGTCGTCAACTGGCTCGGCCTTGGGCTGAACGGTGTCTGCGTCGGTCACTGGTTGTTCAGAAGGCTGTGGTGCCGCCTCTGGTTCAACTTTCACGTTCGATTCATTCATAACAACATCCTCAGCAGGCTGAAGGGCAGCTTTCTTTGCTTGCACTGCCTCGTAGTCTCGTTCAAGGAAAGCTTTGGCAATAAACTGTCGACGGTGAGTACAGATTGCAAATCTCGAAGCTGCTGCTAGCTTACTATCTGCTCAGATAAACTGTCTAGAGCACTCTGAAACTTCTCGTGAGCAGTGGGGATTGAACGCTTGAGTTGGGCCCTGGACTGCATGGACCCGCCAGTTTTAAAAAAGCGGCCGGTCTCTATGAGCTACTGGGAGTTAGAATATGGCCTTTAGCACTGCAAGGGGGTTATTAGGATAAAGGAGTACCGTTTGGTTGACCATTGACGTCAGGGCGTCAAGAGAGTCCGGATTGCAGAAATTTGTTGTCGCCATGGCTATGGTAGTATGGTGACAGACAGGTATTTGGTATGGCCTGTCGGCTTTCCAGTCGGTCGTGTTTGACGCAAAAGTTTAAAAGGAAGGGTCCTTAACCAGCAGTATCAAAGAGTGATAAGAGCCAGTAATGTGCGCTTAGATGTGAATGGACGGTTTCAGAAGGTCCGTGAGGACGGGTGCCGGGTTCTTTGACGGCAGTACCTGAAAACCAATTGGAGCAGAAGAGTCGTTATGAGGAGGGAAATTGCAAGAAGCGCAGGGAAGTCGCGCAAACAGTGCCCAAGCCAAGGGACACAAAAATAGCAAGGACGCGACAGGAGCTTGTCCAACGTGAGGGCAGGTGAACAGATCAGGCGGGAGGGAGGGAGGGGGGGGAGGAGTAGAGGGAAAGAGGAAGAGGAGGAGGAGGAGAAGGAAGAAGCAAATGATGGAGAATAAGCGCCTTTGCTTGGACAAAGACGAGGCCCGTCAAGGGAGGACTAACGCAAGAGGGGCTAGCGTGCCCCCCACCCGGAGCGGCTCTTGACCATCCAAACTCCTCGTTCTGCTCTCCAGTCAAACTTCCCGTCAAGTCAGATCATCGCAGCTTTTCTTTCCCCTGTTTCCATCCTTTCCCCATTTCCTTCTTCCTCTTCCCTCCATTCCTCTCTCCATCTCCATCCCTCATCTTCAGGTGTTTGTCGAGCTCGTGAGCCCGTGTGCATCTGTTTTCTCTTCCCTTTGTTTTTTTCTTTCCCTTTCCTTTCATCTTTGCTCTTTTTCTTTTCCCTCCGTCTTCTTGTTCCACCGTTGCGTTTGCCTCAAACACACCTCCGTCCCGGCTTCGGTTGCCCGAATCTGAAGCTCTGCTGCTACTGCTGCCACCTCGCTCACTTGTTGGGGCTGGTTGAGAATCAACACCACCCGTTGTGTTTTGAGTCGTCCGCTACTTCAGCACCTCTTCGTGCAATTCTTCTCCATCCTCTCGAAGCATTCCAGCGTCATTTTCTTGACGGCGATCGTCCGCTCTAGCTACCGCCCGTATCGTGGTCCCCATTGTATGATCTAGTTTAGCGCTTTTGCCAGTTTCCGTCTTGACCTGGGTGTTTCGATCCCCGCGTCGTTTTCCGCCTTCGCCTACTCTAATTTTGACTGCGTAACGCCTGCATCGTCCCGTCATCAAAGATTGCATCTCATCCTACCGCTGTCTCGTCAAACACTTTCGTCGTCCTTTCCATCTTGCATTTAGTGCTCGTTTGACCCGGTCGGTTCTTCTGTAAATTTGCATCTCGTGACCTCTCTCAACAATGGCCGACAACGTTACCGCTTCCAACTCTTCGACCCTCCCTCCTCCCCCCCAAACCTCTGCTGCTGCTCCCAACCAGCAGTACGATGCGTCTCAGGGCAATGGTCAAGCTAATCCTTCCCACATGCCGCCGCCTCCCCGCCCGCCTGTGGTGATTCCTCAGAACACCAACCCCATCCCGACCGCCATTACCTCTCCCATGTCCGGAAACATGATGTCCCCGACCAGCGCCGGTGGTTTCGTACGCCGTGCTGCCCCTGAACCAAACAAGAGGGCTTTGTATGTCGGTGGCCTTGACCCTCGGGTGACTGAGGATATTCTGAAGCAGATCTTTGAGACGACTGGCCATGTCGTCAGTGTCAAGATCATTCCGGATAAGAACGTAAGCTTTCCTCTTACTGCTGGAGCTGCTGCCGAGCACCCCCATATCTTGCATGACTCCCCTCCTCATGCTAATTGTTACAGAAGTTCAACAGTAAGGGATACAACTACGGCTTCGTCGAATTCGACGACCCGGGCGCCGCCGAGAGGGCCATGCAGACGCTCAACGGACGTCGCATCCACCAGTCGGTATGCAAGCCCACGTACATATGCATAATATCGGACTGCTTCTGACGATCTCTGCAGGAAATCCGTGTGAACTGGGCCTACCAGTCTAATAGCACAAACAAGGAGGATACCTCCAACCACTTCCACATTTTCGTCGGAGATCTGAGCAACGAAGTCAACGATGAAGTGCTTCTCCAGGCTTTCTCTGCCTTTGGCTCGGTATCCGAGGCTCGTGTTATGTGGGATATGAAGACTGGCCGGTCCCGTGGCTACGGTTTTGTTGCTTTCCGCGAGCGCTCTGACGCCGACAAGGCTCTGAGTTCTATGGATGGGGAGTGGCTCGGTTCCCGCGCTATTCGTTGCAACTGGGCCAACCAGAAGGGTCAGCCTTCCATTTCCCAGCAGCAGGCCATGGCCGCCATGGGCATGACGCCGACCACGGCTTTCGGTCATCACCATTTCCCTACCCACGGCATCCAGAGCTACGACATGGTCGTTCAGCAAACCCCACAGTGGCAGACCACGTGCTATGTGGGTAACTTGACCCCTTACACCACGCAGACCGATCTCGTCCCACTCTTCCAGAACTTCGGCTATGTGATTGAGACTCGTCTGCAGGCCGACCGTGGATTCGCCTTTATCAAGATGGACACGCATGAGAATGCCGCCATGGCCATCTGCCAGTTGAACGGCTACAACGTCAATGGCCGTCCCCTCAAGTGCAGTGTATGTTTTGAGCATTCCCCCATGTTTCTTCTAATAGAGTTCCCTCCTAACCATCACAGTGGGGCAAGGACCGTCCTCCCACCGGCCAGTTCGACAACTTCTCTGGTCAGCAAAGCAACTCGGGGTTTAGTTCCACCCCAACCCCGTACTTCCCCCAGTACGGCGGTCCGGGCGCTCCCATGACCCCTCAAGGTAAACTCACGTCTCCTCTCAAACCCCTTCGCCTTTTTACTAATGCGGTTAATGACAGGCCCTACTCCGACCCAAAGAGGATGGGACCAGTCCGGAATGGCAGGCCAAGGTTATGGCCAGGTCCCTGGTAATGCTGGCTATGGCCGTGGTCAAGCCACGCCTACTTCCGGCTGGAACCAGCCCAACAACGCCAACTTTGGAAATGGTTTCGGCGGCTACCAAGCGTAGCCGTTGATCTACGATCCTCGAGACTGCACGCCAGCCAGCACGGACATTGTGGTATCGCTGCTGGCAGCCGCAACAGCGACAAGCGGAAGTGTTCTTTTTTCTACCTTCCACCCCTTTTTTAATCTTCTCACCCGCTGTTCTCTCTTCCTTTCCTTATTTTCACTTCCTTCTCTTTATGACAGCCCCGACTAAGTGGATTTCTAAGCGCATCTCCCATTCTCAAACTCTTCCTTTTGAAATGAAATTTGTGTGTTATCGTACACCCAATACCCCAAATCCGCTTTGTTGAGTCAAACTTTTCATATGATCTTTTCTTTGAACGAATGTGCGTGACTTTTATCAAAGGCTAAGCTTCTTGGGCTTCCCGTTCAAGCGTTCTGCGGAATAAACCAAAAGTATTTTCTGTTATCATGCCATTCTCGAGCCCTGTCTTTGGTCTATTGTCCAAATTATCGCCTCTCCCAGTTTGTATCGTATGTCGTTTAGTATGTATGAGTGGCTTGCCAAAGAGCTCTATATCTGTTTCTGCCTGCGCACAGGAGCCCTTATGCTCAAAGGCTGTGCGCGCTCTTTCTTTCATTCCAATGATCGAGAAGCCATGTTCCTTCCGTTTCTTTGGCCAATTCTTGACAAATGAATATTGATCTCTTATCGATTAGTGTGTGATGTTTGGCGGTTTTTCACGCTTTTCCCCCCGTACCTGAGCTTCGTCTTTATGATACCAGATATTCTGAGCGTGATCTTTCAATCTCCTTGATCACACCCTGCTATTGGCGTTTCGGATATTATACCTATTTTGTTTCGTGAAACCCAAGAGGCTCACTCTTGGATGCCCTATACCAGGATATTCGTGCATGGCCACTATTGAAGTAAACCAGTAATCCTCCATCATTTCAGTAGAAGTAGCTAATGCTAGACGGGGATCAGTATGATAACACTTTCTCTGTTATGCTATCTGCCGTGCCAAAGTCGAGACCCATCTATTTTCTATTTATACCAACACAGCCGCTCCGTGGCTGCGGATAAATTCTCTCCTTATAGAGTTGGGAGGTGGAGAATGGGACCGGGAATTTCTCGAGTGACCGCCTGGACCCTTTCTTGGCCGCGGATGCCCACCCACCACTTGCTTATCCTTTTCCCCCTTCACCTCGTCTCCGACCTGGCCGCTGCTCATGAGAAGCCCCGACGACTTTTCTTTACCCCGGTTTTGGATGTGGGCGTGCTAACCGCCAGCTAGTCGCGCCCAGCTTGCGCCAATGGAAGATGCAAGCGACGGCAAAGGTGCGGCACTCTCGCTGGACAACAATGATCAGCTCTCGAAGCGGGTGCGCTCCGGGAGCGCAAGCAGCGGCCACAAGCGCAGCTCGTCCGGCTCATTACTTTCGCGCCTCTCCTTTCTGCGAATGATCCAAGCGACTCAGAACGCCCCGGATCGGAGCCATTCGGGCATCGAGCGAGACGACAGCAGCGATTTCAGCTCGGGCTTGCGAGGTGGAAGGGCAATGTCGACTGCGATCCAACAACACCGAAGAACGCGCAGGAGAAGGGGCTCCCTACGAAAGACCGCCTTGCTGGGCACCCGATTCGAATATCGAGATAAGAAACTTCCTAGGCCATCGGTGGACGTGCTGCGTGGAGACGATATCAACCCCAACGGACAACCATCCCTACCAAGAGGATCATCATCGTCCCCTCTCCCTCCTTCCGATTCTCAATTACGCGCTTTCGCCGATCCAACCGATAACGATACCGTTCTCCAGCAAAGCAGTTCAGGTCATCCAGACCATGGAGGAAATACTTCTACATGGACCCTTATGGACGCACCCCAGCGAACCCGAAATGCAGCCGCTCCCTCGCATCGCCAGCAAAACCAATCCAAAGAAAGCATTCTCGGCGACGAGATGACCACCGACGACGAAGACATCATACCCTTCCCTCACCCCAATACTTCAAATAGCGCTATCGCCGCTGCTGCTGCCGCGGCCGCGGCGGCCGCAACCACCACCACCGGCCTCCATCTCCCAACCGCTTCGTCCAGCTCCGACTCATACTATGCCTTACAAGCCGACTCGACGGCCTATCGACCACTTCACCGCGCCAAATCGCCCCTAGCAACTCACTCCGCCGATATCGTCAGCACCTCAGAGATGGTATGGGACTATTCGGAGACAGAATGGTGGGGGTGGATAATACTGATTGTGACGTGGCTGGTGTTTGTGGTCGGAATGGGAAGTTGCTTTGGTGTTTGGAGCTGGGCCTGGGACGTCGGAGAGACGCCATATGCTCCCCCAGAGCTGGAAGATGACCCTACATTACCTATTGTGGGATATTATCCTGCGTTGATTGTGTTGACGGCCGTTATGTCGTGGGTTTGGGTTGTTGTTGCCTGGGTGGGGATGAAGTATTTCAAGCATGCTAATATTTCCGGGGAGGATATATGAACTTTTCTTTCTTCCTTGTGTTTTCAACGAATCTTCTTGCTTCGCATGGCCTCGGTGGTGGAGGAGATGCAGGTCGCACCTCTTCCTTTCTTTTTCTTCTTGTTTTACCCCCTTTCCCATTTGAGTTTCATTCCTGTGTATATATGGTTTAGCGGGTCGGGATGGAGTTTGAGTCTCGATATCGACAATGTTTCATACTAGTTCACCGGTCAGGTTGTAAGCAACCTTACCGTACTAATAATAGTATTGCATACAGATGAAAGAATAAGTTGAAAGAGTAGTATAGTAAATCAATTACAAAAGTTATTCAAGTATGTGGCCCGAAATAGAGAAACAACACCCAAATGCCAAACTCCAAGACCGTAACTCCCCATGTCTAACACTGTCGCACACGCTCAATTGACAAGAGTTGACTCAATCTATCAATGTGACAAAGCGCACTTGTTGGCGTGGTTGATTTGCTGCGAATCCAGCGCAGATCCATTGCCATGGATAGCTCCGGGGTTGGTATCGACAGCCCCTGCTTCACGGGGCTGCACGGTTGTCCCAGGGGCTGTGCTAACAAGACCCTTAGACACGGCGTAGCAGGATGAGCGGTCCTGGTTCGTATCCTCGACGTAAAACTCATCCATGATGGGATGTAGCAGGACGGTTTGCTTGTGGATGGTGACGATGGAGTTGGCAGGGACGGAGACCCAGTTATCTGGAGCGAATCAGTTAGCAAATATCCCCTTCTTCGTCGGAATGATTTAGATGAAGCAAGCACTCACGTCTCTCAAAGGTAATCGGCTCACTAGCCACAAGCACAATATCAGCCCCCTTATCATGCCTCTCCATCTTAAAATGTCCCTTATCCTTCCCCTCCACCCACTTCGTCCCGGACGAAAAGTACAAACTAGCCGGTTCATCCGTCTTGCTACTGATGTACCTCGTACAGATAACAGTCTGGCCATCCGTAACAGCAAAGTTCAACAAACTGCGTGTCTCCACATTCGACACATTGTGTCTCTTGGGAATATCGCGAATGAACTCATTGATCTTGGCAATCGTCTTCACCATCACCCGACGCAACAGCGCCTGTCCGAACCCTCCTGGGCCGGGATCAGAGCTAGGATCCACACCCTCTTTCTCGAGAAGGTCAAGGAACAGCGCGAATGCCCACTCGCTATCTGTCCCGCCCTTGACGCCTAGGAACCATTTGTCCGCGAGCGAGTCGGCCAACGGCCGCTTGATGTACTGCCAGCCGCCGACGTTGCCGTTGTGCATCCACATCAGCGTGCTGTGCTGGAATGGGTGGCAGTTCGTGTCGGAGAGGGTGCCCTCTGTGGTTGCGCGCACGTGCGCGAAGATTAGATTAGAGCATGTCTTGGAGGCGAGCCGCTCGAGGTTCTCGCAGTTCCAGGCTGGGAGTGTCGATGTGAAAATGCATGGCTCTGGACCTAGTTTCGGGTCTGTGTAGAAGCCCACGCCGAAGCCGTCGCCGTTGACGGGGCGGCGGTTGTCCTGTATATGGGGGTTAATATTGGGCTTTGTGGTCTGGGATAGGGGGTAGCAGTGGATTCAGTTTACTTGGGCACTGCAGAGGATAGACTTACTAGTCTTAAACGGGAGTCGTAGGACTGAGTGAGAATGGAATGGCTTGGCTCCGTGACTAGCTTGCTGAGACGAATCTCATGCCTGCCTTTGTATACCTGGCGACAAGCGGTCAGTTCAGACTGGCTGACTGTATGACGTGGATGGGGTCAGAACGGAGCTTACATACCAGGAGACGACACATATTCGGCGATTATACAGAGAGTATAATTTGGCAGGGAGATACAGTCCAGAGGTCTTTTCCTGGGGACACCTTTTTCTTTTAAGAGTGTCTGTAGACAGCAAAGCCCGATTCAGCTGGAGACGCTAAAACTAGTAGTAGTTGCTTCAGGGCGCAGCTCCAGTCTCCAGTCACAGTTCGATCCGACAACGGCGCAGCTGAATGTTCAGTATGGATTGGGCAACACAGGACCCAGCCCAATATATATAAATTCTGCGTCCAAATAGCCTGCAGAACTCTAAACTCCTCGAAAGAAGCAGAAATAACTCAGACCTACGGAAAATAGTTGTTATCTGGATCTATCGAAATGGCGACATTCTCCACACGTGACTCACACCGGTCCCGATACGGCCAGCGAAGCGGCCATCGGGCGCAGGTCACGAGACCCGCGGCTTTCCCGCCGCGGATTATCGAATGACTGACTACTGCATTATTATTATTTTGTGGTTTGGTTGATCATCTCCGCCGCCTCCTTCTCGCTTTCCTTTCCCTCCCGCAAGCTACTTACTACCTCACCATCCCGAAGGTACTAATTACTACCACCCGTGGCTTTTCGCCTCGGAAATGCCTAACTACCTTCTTCCGACTTTCTTGATGTGTATGTGATTTCAGGAACCATGAGCGGGAGAATCCTCTCCCATCGTCTTGTTCCGCTGTTGCGGACCGGTCTTCTGGCCCGCCATGTTCATAATGCTGCCGCCAGGACCGGCGGTCTTCTTCGCTCCGATGGCAGCGCCGCTCTACGTGGCCGGGCCTGGCCGGTAGGTGCGAATGCGATTCACAATAATGTGCCTGCTGTGCGGGCAATCTCCTTTCACCGGATACTCCCTAAGCTCGCCATCAAGCTGGTACGGCTGCCGGCTATGCTTGGGGGTGCTACGGTAGCGGGGCTAGCTTATTTCCAGTACCAAGCTACACGTACGTGCTCGATTCCCTATCTGATCTTGCTAATAGATGATTAATGAATATGTGCGTCGTTCAGAGGCAGGAAATTATGCTATCGATCTTTTCAAACGTGCGGGGGAAACAGCGGGAGATGCAGCTTCGAGTTTGTTCACGGAAATTCAGGGCATTGCCGAACAGACACAACGCGGATGGCAAAGAACGACGGATGCCGTGGAACTTCCGGAATGGCTGCAGAGTATCATAAGTCCGAACGAAGAACCTCAGTCCGATAATGGTGGCCCTGGAGGGAAACGCCCGAAGGAGAGTCGTCTCGGTGCGGCGGCAGCTGGTGCTACTACTGCCGGAGCTTTCGGTTACGATGAGTCTAATGAGGAGGACACTCGGTCGGAAAGAAAGATTGCGGAGGATGACCAGATGATGCTTCTTACACGGAAGATGATCGAGATCAGGAACATCCTGCAGACCGTCGGCCAGTCGAATACCCTGACACTCCCGTCAATCGTGGTTATCGGGTCTCAGTCTTCGGGCAAGAGCTCGGTTCTCGAGGCTATTGTTGGACATGAGTTCCTTCCGAAAGGCACCAACATGGTCACCCGGCGGCCGATCGAGCTGACCCTGGTCAACACACCGAATGCGCAGGCTGAATATGGAGAGTTTCCGGCTCTTGGGTTAGGGAAGATCACCGACTTTTCTCAGATTCAGCGGACTTTGACGGATTTGAACTTGGCCGTTCCGGAGAGGGACTGTGTTTCCGATGACCCTATTCAGCTCTCTATTTACTCTCCCCACGTTCCTGACCTCTCTCTCATCGACCTTCCGGGCTACATTCAAGTTGCTGGACACGACCAGCCCCCTGAGCTGAAACAGAAAATTTCCGATCTCTGCGACAAGTACATCCAAGCACCGAATGTCATTCTCGCCATTTCTGCGGCAGACGTTGACCTGGCCAACTCCACTGCCCTTAGAGCTAGCCGCAGGGTAGATCCCAGGGGTGAGAGGACCATCGGTGTTATAACGAAGATGGACCTTGTTGATCCCGAACGCGGCTACAACGTTCTCTCCGATAAGAAGTACCCTCTCCGTCTGGGCTACGTGGGTGTTGTTAGCCGAATCCCTCAAACAACAGCGCTTTTCTCCAGAGGCAGCGGAAATATCACTGGAGCCATCATGAAGAACGAACACGCCTATTTCTCTGCTCACCCGTCGGAGTTTGGATCACAATCGGACGTCTCTGTCGGTGTTTCGACTTTGCGCACAAAGCTCATGCATGTTCTCGAGCAGACGATGGCATCAAGCCTAGCGGGTACTAGGGATGCAATCAGTCAGGAGCTTGAAGAGGCAACCTATGAGTTCAAGGTTCAATACAACGATCGTCCTCTGAGTGCAGAGTCTTATCTGGCGGAGAGCTTGGACAGCTTCAAGCACTCGTTCAAGGCGTTTGCTGAAAGCTTCGGCCGCCCTCAGGTCCGCGAAATGCTGAAGAATGAGCTTGACCAGCGGGTAATGGACATCCTGGCGCAGAGGTATTGGAATAAGCCGATAGACGATCTGTCCGCTCCGCTACCAGAGCTGGATCCGCTCAGTGACCTTGCCAAAGCTGACCCGGAGTCTCTGTACTGGCACCGCAAGCTCGATGCTTCGACATCTTCCTTGACGAAGCTGGGAATTGGCCGACTTGCCACCACAGTTGTCGCCAACGCGATCCAAACTCATGTCGATCGCTTGATCGCCAACTCTACCTTTGCCACGCATCCGTACGCTCAGAAGCAGATCGTCGATGCGTGCAATAGTATCTTGAACGATCGATTCTTCAGCACTAGCGATCAAGTTGAAAACTGCATCAAGCCTTTTAAGTTTGAGATTGAGGTCGAGGACCCGGAATGGGCCAAGGGAAGGGAAAACGTCAGCAAAGTCCTCAAGGAGGAACTCAGAGCGTGCGAGACGGCCTTCAAGCGCCTTGAAGACTCCATCGGACGACGCAAACTGAAAGACGTCATGTCATTCGTCGACAAAGTGCGAAAGGGCGAGGTCTTCCTGGAAGGTGACGGGGCTGGCGGTGCTGGTGGATTCAGCTCCGCCTTGCTGGCCCGAGGTATGTCGATCTATCCTACATATAATCAGGTATCACTTCTAACAAGACACAGGCCGCGAGAGCGTCTTCCTCCGTGACCGGGCTGACCTTATCAAAATGCGGCTCCTCGCCGTTCGCTCCAAGCAATGCTCCTCCAAAAAGAACAAATACTACTGCCCGGAGGTCTTTCTCGACGTTGTCGCCGACAAGCTCACCTCCACTGCCGTCCTCTTCCTCAACGTTGAACTTCTTTCCGAATTCTACTACAACTTCCCCCGCGAGCTCGACATGCGTCTTGGCCGCCACCTCTCCGACGCAGAAGTCGAACGATTCGCCCGCGAAGACCCACGCATCCGGAACCACTTGGACGTGATCAGAAAGAAGGAACTTCTGGAATTAGCCCTCCAGAAGATCGAAAGTATCCGTCAACTCGACGGACGCGAAAGAAAGAATAGGAACTCAGATCGCCCTGTAGGTAACCGGGAACAGAGGAATCGTGGCTGGAACCTGTTCTGAAGGGGGAAAAATAACCAATCATTCAACAATCTACTTATCGACCTAGCGGCCTACCTATTAATCGATTAGACTTTCTCTTCTTCCTTTTCTGTTGTCTACCCACCTCCCATATTGTGTCTTCTGAAAGCTCGGCGATATCTCTCGGCTCTGCTTTATATTTATACCTCTTGACATGTTATATCACACAGCAAGCGTATACATTATATTCTCTCACACTCACTGACACATTCTGTCTCTCCCCTTCACCTGTATGTCATACATAACAGAACAATTTCTTGTTCATAGTTGAGTATTCCTGTATTATGATAGCAAGCAAAGGGTAGGATAGGCGTTAGCAGATGTTCTCTCCAATTATAAAGACATTCGTTATCCATCCTGAATTTCCTGATGAATCTAACTAACTACTGCTAGCTGCTAGCCACTTCGATTCTGACAGTTGACTCTGACGGTTAGACAGTCGGAGTAACTTAATGCGCCTATGTAAGAAGGGCGGCCTAACAGATATCTTAATCGACTTATCACGCACCAGTACAACAATATTTAGATAGTAATGGGAGGGGCAGAGAATGACTTTATACAGCATGATACAGATAAGGCATTCATTATTTTTGACCAGTAACTTGCCAAAGAGCATACAAATACAAATACAAATGTCAATACCAATACAGGACAGGAGAGTAGAGTATACAACCAACCAACCCGAGCAACCCCATTTTCGGAATGAAAACGACAAATATATAAGAGAGAATAAAAGGACCAAGTTATTAGAGGATGAATAAGACTCAGAACAGGAAAAGTTAAGAAGAAAAAAAATGTATTGAGAAAAAAAAATGAAACATAACAGCACAAAGAAAAGAATTATGGCCAATTCTAGCATGTCTAAACAGTAACCCGAACCCGGTCTATCTATTTCGTACAGGGGAAAAGAAACAAAAGACGAATGAAATGATGATCAAGTCGAAGTGATCTATGTGCGCTTTTCATGGAGTCACCCATTATGGACGCTGCGATAGATCACAGCAGAGCGTCTTTGTGTGGTGTGTGCTCTCTTGATCGTCATTAATATGCTCCTGCGGAGCAATGTGTGACAGACAATGGGGGGAAAAGGTTCCCATTTAGGTCAAGGAAGAGGATGGTCATTTGAGTGGCGTCAAGGAAGGGGTGTGAGATAAGAATGATGGGAACGAGATGGAATTCAATAATAAAAGAGGGGTTATCGCTTCGAAATCATGGACGTAGCATGTCTGCTGATGGTGATACAGAGTTTCCAAAGGTTTTATTGAAGGATTTACTCCCGAGAGACGTCGCGGCCAAACAGCTTGGCCTTGATCCAGTCGACGGCGACCAGGACACGGTTGCGAGCTGTGATTGATGTCAGTTAGCATCATATAATTGCGCATACAGTTAAACTAAGGTAACTTACTGCTGAAGCACATGCTCAGGTAAGCACTGCGCCAGAAGAGGTAGGTCA